TTTAGTAGAGACGGGGTTTTACCGTTTTCGCCAGGATGGTCTCGATCTCCTGACCTCGTGATCCGCCCGCCTCGGCCTCCCAAAGTGCTGGGATTACAGGCGTGAGCCACCGCGCCCGGCCCTCTTTCTATATTTCTAAACATATGCTGTTGATTCTGTTTCTCTGAAGAACTGTGACTAATACGTCTCCTCTGAGCTCCTTTAAATAATTTATCACTACTAGAAATTGTCCTGCGCCCGGGCGCGGCGGCTCATGCCTGTAATCCCAGCACTTTGCGAGGCTGAGGTGAGTGGATCACTTGAGGTTAAGAGTTCGATACTGGCCTGGCCAACATGCTCAAACCCCCATCTCTATTAAAAATACAAAAAATTAGGCAGGTGTGGTCGTGTGCGACTGTAACCATAGCTACTCGGGAGGCTGTGGCAGGAGAATCGCTGGAACCCAGGAGGCAGAGGTTGCAGTGAGCCGAGATTACACCACTGCACTCCAGCCTGGGAGACAGAGCAAGACTCTGTCTCAAAAAAAAAAAAAAATAAAGAAAAAAAAAATTATCCTGCTTACAGACTTATTTGTTTACTGTCTGTTTCCCATGATAAGAATGAGGAAAAGGGCCTTGGCTTGTCTTCTTTCTTGCTGTAACTCTGGCTTGGTGCCAGGTATAAACATCGTGTGCAAAAATGTTTGTTCACTGACTGACTGACTGGTCAGGGCCTTGGGAGATACTCACGGCGAATGGCCCTCAGCCGGGGGATGATGCTGGGGCTTGCAGGGGGGCTGGCCCCATCCGATCCTTTCCGCTTATCCAGGGTTGGAGAGGCCTGGACTGTGATCTTATGCTCAAAGCCTGCAGAAAGAAAGAGAAGCTTTGCTAAGCAAATGGTTCCAGGGATTACCAAAGGGAAGTTTCCTCTGTAGAAGCAGAGAAGGAATTCTAGAATGGGAACACTGCCATGTTTCATTCCTTAATGCAGTGGTTCTCACAGTGTGGACCCCAAAACAGCAGCATCACTGTCAGCTGAAAATTTCTTGGCAATGCAAATTCTTGGGCCCTCCCTGAATCAGCAAGTTGCGGTGAGGCTCAGCAATGGAACTGTGGTTTAATAAGCACAAGCACAAGAGCTCTAGTGGACCAAGGACCTAGGCCTCAGTGTCCAATATGGCGGCCAGCAGCTACGTGCAGCAACTGAGCACTTGGAATGTGGCTTGTGCAATGGAGGAATTGGAGTTTAACCTTTATTTATCTAATTTTTAAACTGTATATCCATATAAAAGATGAATTCTCACTGTGATGCCCAAGCTGGTCTTGAACTCTTGGCCTCAAAAAATCCTCCAGCATCCGCCTCCCAAAGTGCTGGGATTACAGGTGTGAGCCACCATGCTCAGTCAACTCTTTATTTTATTGTAATTACAGTAATTTAAGTTTAAATTTTAAAAATGGGTACTCCATTTGATTATTGGAAACTCATCTTTGGAACAACTTGGGTATGTGTATGTACTTTTTCAACTCTAACTTTTATGAAATCTAAATACAGATCAAATATTTTTGATAGGTCAGGTACAGTAGCTCACGCCTGTAATCCCAGCACTTTGGGAGGGCTGCATAAGCCCGGGAGTTCAAGACCACCCTGGGTAGTATAGCAAGACTCCATCTCAGAAAAAAAAAATTTTTTAATGAAAATTTTCTGTCCAAATTTAGATGTGCTATAAATATAAAATACATCTGGATTTCAAAAATGTAGTGTGGAAAAAAAAGGTAAAATATCTCAAAATTATTTTGTATTGATTGCATGGATATATTGGGCTAAATAAAAAATACATATATTTTTTGAGATGGAGTTTCACTCTTGTTGCCCAGACTGGAGTGCAATGGCACGATCTCGGCTCACTGCAACCTCTGTCTCCCAGGTTCAAGCGATTCTCCTTCCTCAGCCTCCTGAGTAGCTGGGATTACAGGCGTGTGCCACCACGCCTGGCTAGGTTTGTAGTTTTAGTAGAGACGGGATTTCTCCATGTTGGTCAGGCTGGTCTCGAACTCCTGACCTCAGGTGATCTGCCTGCCTCAGCCTCCCAAAGTGCTGGGATTA